GAAGAATCTAATTATACAATATCTATTCTTGATCAACCTGTAATTATGAATGAATATGTCAATCGAGTCTATATAGGTAAATAATGACTCACTTTTGTTTTTTTGTGACATTCCTTTCTTTCAGGTCTAGCTATTATCAATATCTTAGTTTCTTTTCTTTATGTATGGGCATGGCGTGGTCGATCATGGTTTGATATTGTCTTAGTACCAGAATATATGAATCAAATACAAGCAGGACTTTATCTTTGGTCATCATTATGGTATTCAAAACAAACTACTCTTGGTGGTTATTATACAATGGGTGTACATAGAATTGAACTATATGCATCTTGTATTGAATTATGCACTGCAGTTGGATGGTAAACATAAAGAATTGATATAAAAATTTGATTATTAGTATTTCTAGGATGCTTTCATGGTATATGACATATACACGTACTATAGGTCGTGGTTTTACGTTTGATGATCCTGATACAATGGCTTATTTAGCAACAACATCAAATACATTTATGTATTTTGTATATAATTTGCAGATGAATATTCATCCTGAACGATATGGAACTAATCTATTATATATTTATGCGGATATTCTTGGTTTTATTGGTAGTGTCTATTATATATTTGCTGCATTACGTGATGATAGTTGGTTTTGGTTTCTTCCGTTAGCTGGACAATATGGTGTAGCAGCAGGTAGAGTTCGAATAGAAACAAAAGATTTACCAAAATATGGATTAACCAATATACTTATTACAGATATATGTAAAAACAGACAAGAGAAAAGTCAACAATCTAACAGGAATATAAATAATGATATTGTTATCATATATCTTTAATTATTTTTCGTTTCTTTTTATAAAACAATTTTTATTTGTTTTTAGCTTAATAAAAAAATAAAATGTCAATCAATAACAAATAAGTGTAATAGGCATTGCTTTAGAGACTAGATTCTGTCTATTGCTAAGGAAATTATTTCGATAAAAATAATAAAGAAAGGAATTATGAGATAACCGAGGATCATGTCAATACACTTAGTGAATCGATGTATAAAATCCCAACCCAAAGTTGTAGCTTACAATAGCCTTTC